CTTCATGTTAACAAGAGCCAGGCCCCAGAAATTTCCTCCTGTCTTTTTAAGGAGCCTGCCAAACGGCAGTCTGATCAAAGCAATCTAATATGGCTTAAGTGCCACTGTTTGACATTTTGCATTCTTTTATTGCTTTCCATTTTTACTACATAAAAAAATGAGTGATAACTAATATCCAGTTGATCTTTTCATTCTGGTAATAAAATGATAATACAAAGATCTTATTATCCACTCCAGATATCCATCACAGTACATTTTCCAATAGCATACTCCTCAGAGTGTTTCTTCACTCTGTCCAAGTGCAAAGTGAGATTAAGTACTCGGCCTCACATTCTCTTTCTCTCTGATACTTTAGACACTGAACTGCAAATAAAAGGAGCTGAACTTCAACCCTTGACATTCTGTCCACATTAATGTGATCTGCAATTTTGTTGTCTTTGCACTAGAGAAACCATTTTCTATGAGAAGCCAAAAATAGTTGGAGGGTCTACCTACTAAAATATTTTGTCAACCCAGAGAATTTTTATTCTTGTAAGAAAACAAGAGGAAACAAAACAGGAGGAAACAATATTGGAAGTGGAGAGGAAGAATATATCTTGGTAGGAAGAAAGATCAGGTGGGCAGGAGAAGAGACACATATACAAGGCATAAAGAATCCAAAATAATGCCAACAAGCAAAACAAACATCAGAGATCATGAGTTTATATTAAAATCAATTTTAAAGTGGATGCAGAGGTGGCCCCAAGCCTTCCTGTGAGCAGGAAGGACATTCTGTAATTATGTCATTGATTTGAAAAGATAAAAACAAACAAACAAAGCAACCAACAAAACCAATAAATAAAAGAAAGCAAAGAAAGAAATACTAACAAAAACGTAAGCATGCAAGTCTCCCTGCATCCTAACATATTTAGTTATTTACAGGACAATTAGGACTCATCTATAGTTGATAGGAACACATTTTGTTTTCAAATGCCCAATGTATTTAAACTGTTAAGGATTATAGCACTAACAAATTTCAAGGTTACGAGAAGAGAGAAAGAATAAAATTTGGGATCATTTAAAGATGCAATATATCATTACAAATCCAAGTCTTCAGAAAAAAATTATAGAGAAATACATAGCCTAATGAGTTTGGGAGTATTGTAGGGAACTACTGGATACCAAATTTAAGATTAAGACTGTCTCGATAACTCTACCTCAGAGTTAACCAAGATACTAGGCTATGTACTTTGGCAGACAAAGAGAATACACAGTAAGAATGCTGGCCAGGACAGATCCAACTAATAATGAATTTGAGATAATTTTGTAAGGATTAGAAAATTTCCTTTGCAATCTTTATAGTTTTTAAAAGATGTATTAAGTCCACTAATATGAATCTAGGGAAGAGACTGTCAGACACGCCTTTTCATGCAAATAATTCATGTGTCAGTCAGGAAAGTACTACTCAATCTGATTTGGATTTTCTCGGTAATAACTTGTTAATGATTAGTTAGTAATTTCTACAATAATTATTTTTTTGTAAAATAGTCTACAACTTGTCTTTTTTTCATTAATTCAAATATTTTTTTCTCTTTATGTTAGAAGAATGTGACTTTAGAGTCCTTTCTCATCTACCTTTATGAAATACTGTCCAGAGAAGAAATGATATGCTCTAAAAGATGGTAGTTCTTTAAGCAACTTCCATACACAATTATTTTATGATGGCAGACTGTTTCTCTCAATATTGGAATATCGATTGAGAAGGCACAAGGAGTCTGACTAGTCCTTTATTTCTATCGTGGATAGAGGAGAGTGGAGAGTGTGAGATAACACACTTCCATGCTCACCTTCCAGGCCATGAATCTGTACAAACTGACCTTAATTTAATTTCAAGTTGCAGATAACAAACATATTTTAGCAATGATACAAGCTAATGGATGTCAGAGAGCTGGGATTGGTCTGACACTGTGTGCAGAGACATCCCATTTGTAATTTGAAAGATCAAAGCATACATTTTGACACTGAGATGACCACTATTCATAGAGAAGGTTCTTTTTTAAAAAGTACCCTCTTCACACATGAAAATAACCTTTTGATTTTTAAATGAAAACAGGCTCTCTTTCCACCTAAACATTCCTGACAGCTTTTCCTATGAGGGGGAAAAATGGTGGCAAGAAAGAATCTGCCAGAGATGCTCTCTGGAATTCAAATCTTCCCTTTCTCCAAGGAACCCAAACAAAAGGCTGTCCTCCCTTGAAGACGCTATTGCTGCATCTAAACTACTCAAACAGAAATGGCTGACAAAGGAACGCACCTGCCATCTCTGATGGTCCCACACATCTGAATACATGAAGCTAGATCATCTTCCCTCTTCACCCACTACCTATTCTTCAAGGGCAAAGATTGGATAGTCTGATAACATATATATTTTCTTTTCCTTATCAAGTAACATCTGCTCTACACTGAGGGCGGGGGATGAAGAAGGATGGAGCCACCAAAGGAAACAGCAGAGCAATTCTGAGTAAGTTTGAGAAGTTTGAAAATGTTTCCATCCAACCTTAATAATTTAGAGTTTAATATTAATTCTCAACCTAAGATAATCTTTTACATTATAGTTTGTATATTTGCTGTGGAAATTTTCTAAAAGATATCACTTGAGTTATCTTTGATATCTTAGGTATGATATAATTTTTAGAGATGGTGGTAGATGCTGGATGACTGTGATTTAATAAATGTACATTCATCTCGGTTTCAGACGAACTTAAAGTTCACAGGGGATGAATGTAATAAATCAGTCACTCAAACTACAATTTATGCTGAGATACAGATATTTCAATTTATATTTTTATGGGGTAGGAAATGCACTCCAGGTGGAAATCTCTGCTTATTTAATTACTGTGAGTTAGATTTGCATTATTTGATATGTAAATTCCTCTCTCTCCTAACTTTGAGTAGTAACATGAATTCTTGATGGAACTTGGGGTTCTTGCCACATCTGCCCACTATTCCCCAAATAAAGGCAAAAGAAAATGAAAGCGTTACCTGCACATCGAATGTTCTTTCCAGTGACTGCTGTCAAGTTAAGGCATTTGCAGTCCTGTCCGAGGTGTGCACTGAAAGCTCACAATCATTCATTTAATTCAAGTAACTTACATGTAATGCATACTCCTTAAAAAGGGAAAAATTTCACTAACCAGCAAAAACCTTTGTCCTCAAAGGTATTATTCTGTGGAATATCCAGAGAAAAAAAGACTGTGCTTAATATTAGAATCTCGTAATATAAGCCAACTGAAGAGAAGTGTCTAACAAGGGTAATTAGACTATAAATATATATTTCATTGGTATAGCTAGAAAACACAGTATCACACTTCATTTAGTTAATTCCCATTGTAGAATTCCAAAACTAGAGTTTATATAGTTACATTTTGTAAATTTAAAAACTCATGCTTTATTGTATGCTTAAGATAAATAAACAAGAGTACATAAAACAGGAGTCTAGAAAGGAGGATTTTCCTCCTACTATTTTCTAAGACTCAGGATGTATCAAGAACATCTATAACTGCATTAAGGCACAAATCTAGCTTCGGGAAAGTATTTCGTGACTGCCACTTTGCCCGCATCAGTGCCTCAGAGCTGAAAGCAAACTGGACCGTGGTGTGAGACTCGCAAAAACTGTGCTCCTTCTCAGGAAGTGTGGGATGGGGTTTGATAGGAGATGATGTAAACCTGGAAAATTCCACTTGTGTGAGAGCTTTGAGAGATTATTTCAGGAACTGTTCTGTTCAAGATGATGTTTAATGCCTTGTATGATAGTTTATCAATTTAATTTTTCATAAGTCATGATTCAGTTACCTTCTTATTGCTATGATTGGAAAGATACACATTTATGTTACTTTAAAATGAATATTAAAATATTCGAAGACAAATCTGAGTTATAAGACGCATGGTGTTTAAAGTAGTATGTATTTCATTAGTAAAACTTCTTGTTTTGTACGTTTAAGACCACCATTTCGTTCCTCAGAGGACGACATAGCTATTTGCAAACACAGCCAGTGGTTTTGGGAGTAGACTTCATCAACTTACATTCAGCATTTTCCAAGGATATAGAAAATGTTTGTTCTCATTGACTATAACAATGAGAGATTAGAACCTTGTTAGAACCATTTTATTTACATAGCTAACAACTTTGGTATCATTGGAGGAGATTCCTTAATGTGGTCAGCAAAACTGGAAAGGAAAAACCTGAACATTTACATAAAGAAATAAAATAAACTTATTCTTAAGGTAATGCTACAACTCAAAATAAAATCACAGTCCTTATATCCTTTCAGGTTCTCTAGTCCATAGTCAAATAAAACTCAGTCCATGCATCTTTTCTGATTCATCATTTGGCATGCATATCACAGATTTGAAGGGTTTTGATTATTTTTGCAGATATGTGATGAGGATGTAAAAATTCATCATGTAAATACTCTTAATGAACAAGAAAAAACTCTTAGACAAGTAATTTTCTTTACAAGTATACATATAACATTGAAAAATACATTTTTCTAAGTAAAATTTTGGTTGAATTTAGAAGAGCTTAGCAGTAGCTCTCAAAATAAAAGGAATTCAATTTTTTTCTATATTTTGAGTCAAGAGATAAAAACAGAAAGTGAAGGAAATAGACCCACAGTATTGTTTTCCTAATTTGGTGATGAAAAGAGCTACTGGAGTCCAAGATCAGGCAAAATACAAATGCTACTTGCCTTATCAAAGGTCTATAGAGGTGTGTGCACCGTCTGCTCTCAAATATTTGTCACCTCTTTTCCCACTTAGATGTAGGAACTACAGCAGGAAAGTCTTCAGCTGGACAGATTTCAAAATGAATTTTTACAACCCAGATGATGGACTGGTATACTTCAAAAGTGAATTCATGAGTTTGATAAACGTCTTTCTCTTGCTCTCATTTTTTTTTTTTCTGTACTAGCTTACATCATAATGGAGGAATAACATTTTAAAAATTTTGAATAGGCACTTACTGGAATTACAGTTAATCCTGATACAATCTAGATGGGGAAGAATAGATGAAAAATGAAAATTTATCCTTCAAGGTAATAGCTGCAGACATCCAATAAAATCACAGTCCACCCTTCCGGGGACAGACACATGCAAATATGGCCAGTCCATATCTTGTATTCTTTACATACTTCTAGAACCCAGATTCATTGTTATAAAACTTCACATTGTAAACAACGATAGAAAGTTTTGTTTTGTTTTGTTTTGTTTTAAATGGCCAATTCAAACAAAGCTACATGGTGACAAATCTAAGTGAAAGAAAGAGTTGTTAACTGTCAAAGATGTTTGGCTTAGAGAGGCTGCGACTTTCTCCCCATCTGTGAAAGAACATTATCATTGTTTTCAGTGTAATTAAAAAGTGCTCCGTCACAATGGGGTATAGTGCAAGCCCAGCTAGGCTCAGACATCTTGGACCTTCAGAGTCTAATATCCCACAAAGGCCAACAGAACTCTTGAGAATTGTGGTGGTCAAATGGAGAGCAAGTCGAAGTTATTCTAATCTCACCCTAATGTATTTTTTATTTTTGTTATTATTATCATTGGCTTAGGCAGAAAAGGTAACAGCCAGATACCGGCTGGATTCCATGCCTTGTATTAATTGGAGGAAGTAAGAAACAACTGTATTTTCCTTTAGAAGCCTCGAGTGGCTAAGGAGTAATGTCATTCTTCAGAGCACATGAGCCTATGCCTCTCTTGGGAGTGAACAATGTTATCTCTATGTACTAAGTGTCATGGTTAACACTGGTATAGATCTTCCTTTTCTTACACTTCCTTCTTCTATAAACACAGATTCTCTAAGAACAGAATGTCTGATCTGAATAACACAGACTGTGATTATAAGGGTTGTCTTTAAAGGACTGTGTGGGATGTTTTATGTTTATTTTATGTATAGATATATATTTGTTGGTTTTCGTTGCTGTATTTAATTAATGCCTTTGGGGAACATGAAAAATAGAAACCTAGATTCTGTTTCCATATAGCTGAGTTTGTCATGTGTCGTCAACCGCATCAGAAAAGTGGTTGCAAACAGCCAAGGACCAGCACCTACACAACTCTTTCCACAGAATGCTTTGCTGTTGGAAAATTCCCATGAGTGTTTCCACTTCGGCTAGCAGCCCCTTTACTGCGAGTAGGCAATTTCCTTTGAATTGTTGTAGTAACCTATCCTTGTCACTAGAGGGAACTCTAACAGAACAGTAAATGACAGTGCAGTGTGTTCTTTAGTGATCTTTTAAAAACCACCCTTATTATTTAGCTTGATTCAACTAATATTTATTGAATGTAATTGTATGCAATAAGCTATCACTGCAATAATTTTATATTTTATGAGCTACCATTCTGCCCAGCACAATTTGAAAATGTAGGTAGAGTTTCCACAAATGCCTCACCTCATCACATTTTGCTACTCTTCGTGTCAATCTGTGTTTCAAATTTTATTGTTCTTTCTCCATTAATTTATTTTTGTGTGTGTTTAGCATTTCCAGGAAATACAGTAAAACCTCATTAATTTGTACTCCTCTTGGAGCTAATGATAATAATGAAACTTCTTGGGCAGAATATTTATAATGCTTTACCAACAGAGATTGCCTGAGAAAAAGTAAACAAAACAAGTTGTAGAAGATCAGCTTCAGGAAGAAAACCGAATGCCAGGACTTCCCTGTACACTGATGGCACGATTTGCATGACACGACACCCTAATGACTGATAATTCTTATCCACCCATTAAAATCAGCCTGGTAAGACCTTCCCTTAAGAAGCCTACCTAGCTATCAATTTGTGTTTTGGAATGTAATCGAAAACAAAACTGTGTATTTTTTTAAGTCTACAATTCCGACTCTTAATTCAGCCTAGCCTTCCCCCGTATTTCATACAGCTTTGTGAGGTTTTACTGTAGTGACTGTCCCCTAACGCTATGATGAAGCAGGAAAGCATTATTTCTCTGTAGAAGAGTCTGTGTTTCCGTGTTCTCATGGCTGTTTGCTACGGGCCGCAGTCTTTGGGCATTGAAGGGTTGTGGATTGCTGTTCGGTAGCAAGGTATCACCACACGGTATTTCCAAACAGAAAAGATGGGGTACCACAAAGGTGACTGGTCAAAGGAGAAGCCCAGGGAGTAGAGTGAAAGCAACTGTTGATCTACATCACAGAGTAGAAATTTGATATTTTGCGCAGATGTTATCTAAAGTAAAAGCAGATGGCTTTTTATTCATCTGAAAGGGTATCGCGTATAGCAAATCAGAATATCAGTAAACATAACAGTGGAAATTATTTGAGGCCTCTTCAAGCTTAACAATTTATACTTTCAATTGACCTCATCGATACATACGGCTTCCCTTTTAAGAATCCTCAGTGGTAGAAATCACAAAATGGTAAATTATGTTAAACAAAATGAAACAATCAAAAGATGCCCCCAAAACCTAAATTAATTTAAATGATGAAAATGAGACCATTAAGTGTTTTAACTTTCCATGGCAAAACAGGCTACTCAGTAAATGTTTGCAGGCAAAACTGAACAAAAAGTGAAAAGTATTAGTTTTATGGGGGAAGGCCAGTTGTTACCTAGATTGACCGTCAGTTTCACACGCCCTGCATCCAGCTCCAGGCGGAGGGTGTCTGCCGAGTCTCTAGAGGTGGTTGCCATGAGGATGCCGTAGGCACGCTGGGATCGGAACCGTAAGGACACGTCCTCGGCCTCTGTGTGCATCACCACTGGGAGCTGGATTTTCATAAACATACTCCCATCATAGCTCAGAACCGTTGCCTCTACGGATGGGAAATGAATATAAAAGTTCTTGGTCAGTTTGGTACCTTTATACTTTGAAAGGGAAAAGCACGACCCGTTAATGGCTTCCAGATAGAACACAATACTACAAATCCAACTCATCTTCCTTAGAAATGAGCAATTTTTTTTTTTTTTAAACCAAGAAGAGAAGTGACAGTGAAGAGGACTTCCGTGAAGTCTCTGCTCAAGTACAGGTACCAGAGGGCGCTACTCCCCTTTTGGATCGCATAGCCCTTTCTATATAGCATTCATCATGTTGGTTCATCGATGTTGATGTATCTGTCTCCCTTCTCAAAGGCAGAGGTCACATTCTTTTGTCTGCAGCCATAGCATGAGCCTGGGACAAAGCACTAGCAATTACTTAATGTATGTTTCTATATGGCTAGGCCACTGACTAGCCCTGTGAAATCTGCCTTAGCTCCAAATCTTCCATCAACAAAATGAGGAGGTGCTAGCAGAGGATCTCTCAGGCCTTCGCTTACCCTAACAGTCCATGACTCTAAGAGAAGTTACTATCATTATCTTCTTTCATAATATCTGCCATCATAGGATCAAAAAAAAAAAAGGAAAAGAAATGACTTAAATGTAGGAATAAGGTCAACATTTTACCAAAGGTGATGTTCAAAAAGGGAAGAAAAAATAGTAGGTCCAATCAACAGGTGATGCTTCTTCTGAGTCACTTTGTTTAACAAGGTAATTGATTTTTACAAAGACACAAACTGAAACTTCATTTTAAGCTTTATTTACAGGTAAGGAGTAAATGAAATCATCTCCTATAAGCACTACCCTGGTGTTCTAAAATGTGAAGCTATCACCAAAAAGTCAATAACTATGTACCTTGGTAATAATGGATAAACATGGGGGTGGGTCTGCAGAGCTTGTGTGGGTGTGTGGTACTAAACCAAAGGGGACTGCTTTAAGAGAGAAGTTGCTTAATACTGTATTAAACACACAAAGAAGAGGACAGCAGAAACTGTTGATCACAGACTGCCTGCTTTAAGAAATAGAACCCTTTAATGTTAAACACCATATGGTGGTGGAACGTTGCAAAACAAGTATGAGTAATTCTGCTTTCTCATTGTTTCTAACAACTCAGAATACCATTTAATAAAAGAAAAACTACCTGGAATTAAATGAAACTAGGAAATTCTCGTTATCTTGCCTACTTACATGGCACAACAATTAGCTTTACTAATTGCAACTGTGATACAGTTGCTTATTATTAGGACTATATTCTGGAGTTGTGGTTTTGCAAGTTTGTCTTTCAAAAAGTCAGGAAAGTCTAATATTGCTTCTGACAGACTTTAATCATTAGTTGTTGTCATCATGGGACTGAATGCACATCTGGAACAATGAAGAATGGAAGGTTCCTTCCAGGTCTCCCTTCTTGGTGCTCTTCTCTTCCACCTACCCCTTGACTTAAGGGATCTTGGTCAAATCCCCCGAATACTTACTAACAGCCTGACTTCTCTCCTGAGCTCCTTCATCCATTGCCCAATTAACATTTCCAATTTGAATACTATAGGCATCCTCCAAATGAACCAACTCAGCATGCTCCTTCACCGATGTTCTCTATGTTAGTAAATGGCATAACCCCATTGTTCAGAACTTAGCTTTTCTGATCTTTCTCTTAAACTCTCCACAATGCCCAATCTACGTGCAAGTCTACAAGTCTTGTACGCTCTAATTCCAATCCATTTCCTGAATTTATCACATCTTACCCTTATCACTAAAGTATCTCTGACTCTGCTCTAATCTCCCACCTAGACCACTGTCATAGCTCCCTCAGCGGTTTCCCCATTTCTACTCTTTCTTCCTATACACAGCAGCCAAGCTAAACTTTTAAAGAAGTAAATCAGATTATATCCCTACATTGCTTAAATTCTCTCTCCCCACCTCCCACCAATAGTTTTCCACTGCAGTTAGAATAAAAGCTGTACTCCTTTTCTACCTATAAGGTTCTCTGGGATCTGGCCCCAGCCCTTCTCAATGGCCTCAGCTTTCAGCATCTCCACTACTTATTCAGTTGACTCCAGCCACACTGATTTCATCTCCCATTCAAGTACTTGCCCTTGTGGACCCCTATGTCTTAACAGGCTTAACCCTAAATCTCTACATGGCTGGTTCCTTTGGCATTCCGGTCTCCGGTCAAATGTGACTTCAGATGTCTGCTCCAAGCACCCCATTGATCCATCTTCCAGTCATTCCGTATCTGCTTACTCATTTTTTTTCACAATTATTATTTCTTATTTGTTTGCATACTGTTATCTGCTTCAGCCTTTAGAATGTAGGTGTCTTGAGGGCAGGGGTTAGGCTCTCCTATGCATTGTTCTACTAGCAGCTGTGTGCCCTGAAAAGGGCCAGGCACGTAGAAGAGCCTCAGTACATACTTAACTGAATTAATGATTGCATCTGATACTGAAGATATATGAAAAAGCTTATTCCAGTTTGGATATCAAGCTTACATAAATGCTCACTAAAGAAGTTAAGTATTCACTCTGCCTATTAAGTAGAATCCAATTTTGGTAAAGTAGGTAAACAAAATATTTGCTGAAGTCTACTTTGAAGGACACAATGTGCCACAGACAGACAAGGAAACATGTCCATTTATCAAAATACCAGTCCTGTGGCTAGGCACTGACCTGACTTTGAGAAAATAAAATATGATCCTTTTAAAATATAGTGGTTCTACACTGTACCACGTATTTTTATTAGATAAGTTTCCTAAAAGAAAAGCTAGTAGTAGTTTACTCAAAAAATAATTAAGGGCCACCTGGGTATCTCAGTCAGATAAGTGCCTGACTCTTGATTTCGGCTCAGGTCATGATCTCAGGGTTGTGAGATGGAGCCCCGTGTCGGGCTCCATGATCAGCAGGGAGTCTGCTTGAGATTCTATTTCTCTCCTTCTCCCTCTGCTCCTCCTGCACCCTGCATCCATGTTCTTTCTCTCTCTCTCTCTTTCTCAAATAAATAAATTAATTAAAAAAAATAATTAAAACATGATTGTAAAGCTATGGTGAACTCTAGAAAAAACGTGTTTCTTGTATAATCTTAAAGGAGACTTGATCCTTACTATTTCTTTGCCTAAACTGTAGCTAATCATTGTCCATATCTATAGAGCAACAAACACCTGAATAAACATTTAAAAGTCATTATCAATTGCTCAGTTCTTTGGTATCATATTGATAAAAGAACTGAAATGTTGTTAGTTTTCTTTTATTTATTTAGTCTATAAATCTAGCGTGTATTATTCAATAATCACATTTTAAAAATGATTTTACAATCTTCTATAAAATGCAGCTTAATTTGATTAAAAACTAAGGAGGGGGAATATCCTTTCAGAAACAGAGATGACTGACAATGAATCATAAACATAGTATGAAATACAATACAAAGTAGAAAAATAATCAGAATCATTAGCCTGAAACATTCTCCAAAAAACTGCAGGAATGAAATAACATAGTAAAGTAATAAAACTTGAGTACATTTTAAATAATTCTCAATGTGAAAATAACTTGTTGATAAACGACAAATGAACACCTAAATGATTCCTCATAATTAGAGTTAATGTTTAATTAGAAAAGAAATGGAAAATGTACAGGGTTGGAGTCCAGAGTTGCCAAATAAATGGTAAACAACACTCTGACATTTGAAGGTTATGCTATTTGGCAGCATCCTTTCACATTAGTAAAATTATTTACCACTTAGAACACAAAAGAGTACTTTAAAAGGCTAATTCCAATACACTACTTCCCAGAGGGGGAGAAAAAAGTTTCAGCTTTGTCTCCTGCATCTCCTTCCCCCTTGTCGTTAAGTTTGATAAATTTGCTTTTCTGTTTTATTCCTTCTTGCCGTCTAAAGTGTACACCTGTGCTCACTTTTGCCGAAAGGCAGTCACATATTGTGCGCAACGATGAAAATCAGACAGGGAGCCAAATTATATTGCTCTGACATCTGTCCCTCCATCTGTTAGAGTTTTAACAAACAAGTATAGAGCAGACCTCTGATTACAACATATACACATAACCAAGAATAATTTCTACAAGGCCAAGTAAGTCTCCACAAATTCTCAGCTTTATTTAAAATAAAGTGGGAGGGGAAAATGCTGAATTTAATTTATATTCAATTGCACATTATTTCTATATTACTCTTCCTTATGGGATCGATACACATAAAATACTATTTTCCTAGTTGCCTAAGTCAGCAAATACTCTTTCTTTCTTCTAAATTCCTTTGCTTACTTAATGCAGAGTAAAAAATTTTCTATAGTAATGTGACTGCGATATTATTCCTCAGGCTGCATTACCCAAGGACTTGACCACACTTTTTAATTACTATGAATAATAATCTTTATAAATTATCAATTATTGCTCAGTAATAGTAACACAGAGACTATTAGTACCTTCATTTTTTTTTTAATTTCAGAAGTTGTCAACCAACTCTTAGGTGATTAACAGCCTTATGTGATCAGAGTGTATCTGGAGAAGAACCACAGTCATAGCTCTTTCTTTTGAATTGGAAACCCCAAGGGTTGGGCAGATCTTATGTTGACTGAACTAGGGCATAGCTGGGAACTGGACAGAAGCCAAATTCTGTGGTATTGAGCATGACAAGCATCCCACATCACCACTGTTCTCAGGAGATACCATAATGTGAGCAAGAAAATTAATTCTGAAAAACAAAGACTTCTAACAATACGCTGGGTAGTCTGGAAACAAAAATCACACAAAAATGACCATATTTTCCCTCAACACACAACGAACCTGAAGACAAAGAAATCTGCAGAATTTTCTAGCCACCTGTCAGATGAAAATGTATGCCGAATCCCAGTGATGAAGCTTGCTATTAAATTCATTTGCAAATCTACATATGCTTGCCACCCCTCCTTCTAATTATTGCAAAATATAAATATTCCTTTTCCCTCATTCTGGCTCAAGAAGCTTGACAATTTCTATTTTTATTTCTGCCATATGTAGTAACGGGATCTTGCCACAGGGTGGTGCACCACGCATATTTAACTGAAGGCTTTTGTAATCTGTGACAGTTGGGTTACATCCTTTTCTAGCTTCACATAAGCAGGAGGCATCCGACTAACTGGCAGCTCTCTGAGTGATTAAAGAGAAAACAGCAGCTTAAATCCTACAGGTCTGCGAATCTCCCATTATGTCTAACTTGTAATATATCTTACAAACTTGGTTGCCTTTTTGGTGGTTGTTGTTGGCCCCTTTTGCCAGTTTCTAAAGACCAAACTATTGAAACAAATAAACTGAAATTAGAGGGGGAAATGAGAAGAGGGAATTCACAGAGCATATACACCTTACAAGTGAAACTACACAGAAACAGCTAGCCTCTAATGACCCTTGATAGGAATTGCAATTCGGTACTAGGAGAATGAATGGATCTAGGTGATTAAAATACTTACCCATCTATTGACCTAGCCAGCTGTATAATGCAGAACAGAGCAGTATTTTGGTTGGTAATTTAAGATCACTATTAGATTATTAAATTATTATTATTATTTTTATGTTGATTAATGTTAATAATAGAACTGATAAGCTGGACCTCTTTATTAAGACAAATAACCGAAGTCACATCTCAACTTTGGATTCTAGAAAATCACTGTTTTTGTTCTCTAGGCAGTGTGAGCTTAAACAAATTAAACTATTTCAGGATGTAAGGGGGAAAGAAGACTAAATGTACATGGTTTAAACAATACATGCCAGGTGCTTTCAGGCTAAATGTCTAATGCACCGATGTTATTTGAAGCATGAGAGGACAATGGGACAACTCATCAATAGTTTTCCATATTGATGTTTTCGTTCCATTGTTGAAAATGAGTGGCAATGGGTATAGTGACTAAAGCATTCATCTGACACTGCTAGGTCGACGGGAGGACTTTGTTTCTCTGCTGTTCCGCCTTTAGTCTGCAGACAAACAGTGGTTTGTCTTCACTCTTCATTCTTCCTCTAATCCTTATTCTTCTCCTTCTAATGGGAGAGGAAAAGAAAAAAGAAATGTGGCTATGCTTCCTACTAGAGAAGAAAGGGAGGCAGCTACTCAGAGGCTCAGCAGACACACCGAGCCTTAATACAATAGAGCTTATACATCCTCTGTGATCACTCAGGTCCTAGGCAAAGGTAAGTGTCTTTGAAATTAGGGTGCACTTCTGAAACTGCCGGTGTAAATCAGATGACTGAAAGTCATCTTACTTTCTGAATTTCAAACTTGGGGAAGGGGCCCGAAGTGAAGTGAACAGGCTAACTTAAGTCTCACGCCATAGTGTTAGGGAAGTTGCCTCACATGCTCTTTTTCTGGCCACGGATATTATCACTGGATGCCATAAATATCTCTAATTCATACCTTCTTTACTCTCCAGGGTCCTGAAATTAAAAACTGGGCAAAAGAAACAGCGGTTGCTATCGATCATACATCTTAGGCCCAGACTCTAAAAGATACGGAAGACTCAAATATTTCTTCTTGCAATATACTTCAAACTCTGTGTCTTCCCAGAATCAGCCCCTCTGAAAATCATGGAGGGCTCATCAGCAGTATGCCCGGCGTGGCTGCTAGGCCTGCAGGCGTTTACCTCAGCAGAGCATGCATTACGCTCCCATGGTGAGTTCAAGGTCTGAGGTCAACATTTAATACCCGTTTTCGTCTCAGGGGAGTCAGCTGCTTGGGTTTTGGAATCCTACCTCTCTCGCAGGACCTGCCAAGGTAGCCTGTTCCGGAACAATCACAGACATATCTGTTCCACCCATCCCTGCACATGCCATTGTTTTTGCAAGGGTTGCTAAGGCACGGTTTTGCTGTTTCCCTTGAGCAGGAGGGCTTCACTCCAGCAGTACTTTGAATTTCAGCCATTTGCCGGATATCTTTGCTCTGGCCGTCAATGAACAAATCTCTAATGCAGCCCACGTAGCCGTAGTTGAGCAGGGCAGTCCACACCTCGGTGGGGAAAATGAGGCCAGCCTTGTTTTCCGGCAAGCCCCCCAGGTACAACTCATCATCCAGGTCCAGAATCTCGCTCTCACCAGGTGCCGTGTAGGGTGTACGCAGGGTGTTGACAGAAATGGTACCTGTTGCAGAGACAAGAGAACACACGGGTCTTTACGGAGTGCAACATGCTCGAAAAAGCACACTTTCTCCCTTTCATCTGCCTAGGGGGACACTGCTTGAGGGCAGACAGCTCCGATTCTTCTTTCGGGTCCTCAGGTACCTTACTTATCCTTCCCAGGGGAGCAAAAACCAAAGTGGGCGGCCAACCAAGAGTGTTTGTCAGCCTTCACAGTTTAGTAAAGAAAAGAAAAAAAGGAAGATTAAAAAAAAAAAGGAGGGAAAGAAAGAGAAATCAGCATTCTATATCACTCTCCAACAGTTCAGTCAGGAAAGAAAGAGAAAGAAGGAGAAGTTGACATTATATACTACCCTTTGGAATAAAGTCAGATTCATGATTGGTGAGTGCTCATTTTCAAAGCTGGTGTGCAACTGCAAACTAAAAAAAAAAAAAAAAAAATGTTGCATGCTCTCACCTTCAACTGACTTGATTGATTTTATGGAACACAGTAGTTTGACAGATCATCTATGTCAAAACTTGACTTTACCACTTTTTTTTTTTTAAGATTTATTTGACAGAGAGAGACACAGCGAGAGAGGGAACACAAGCAGGGGGAGTGGGAGAGGGAGAAGCAGGCTTCCCGCAGAGCAGGGAGCCCGATGCGGGGCTCGATCCCAGGACCCTGGGATCATGACCTGAGCTGAAGGCAGACGCTTAACCATCTGAGCCACCCAGGTGTCCCTGACTTTACCACTCTTAACTGTATTAATCTATTGATAAGCTCTATGGTCTTGGTCTACTCATCCGTAATATGGATATAGTAATATGACATACCTCTCATGGTTGCTCTGAGTGCTAAATAAAATGATATTAATAAAGTATCTGGCTTATAATAAGCACTGCATAAATGTTGTGTATCATGATTCATCACAAGAACCAAGTCAAACTGGCTGTTTACTTTTTTAAATTTTTTAAAAATTTTTTTATTGTTATGTTAATCCCCATACATTACATCATTAGTTTTAGATGTAGTGTTCCCTGATTCATTGTTTGTGCATAACACCCAGTGCTCCATGCAGAACGTGCCCTCTTTAATACCCATCACCAGGCTAACCCATTAATCCCAACTAGTTAGTCATCTAAATTGGCAAATTTTTCCTGCTCACTTCAAATGTAATAGGAGAATAATTCTATTAGTTTACAAATATACAGGAACCCTGGTTTTAAGCAAAGGATGAAAAGGTAGACATTCACATGGGATTAATTGAGAATCACAGAAAAATATTTGTGGGAACCATTAAATGAAGAAAAAATGAAAGGCAGAAGGCAGTTTTTGATTAAAACTTCTATCATGTACCACCAGATTACTCAAAATTCCACCAATGTTCTATCTCCAGAAGGATATATGTAAAAATGAAAATAATGTACCTGAAAAGGACACCCCACTGTACCTTACGAGATTGTCCCAGATTTATTTTTCAGGTCTAGACCATAAAGCAAAATAGGTAGGGTATTAAGAGAGAAAGTAGATTAGAAATGTCTGGTGCCATGCTAGCTACCGACAGAGAGCTTCAGGGATTTGGGGGGCAGACGTACAAGGGAGGCCAGGAGACAGAAGATGAGGTACAGAGGTAGGGACAGAAAGGGAGAGTCTAGTGTGGGATAGAGGATAGGTAGGAAGATGCATTTTAGCGGTTTCACAGAATACCTAAAGTCCATCCCCAGGTGAAAATACAGCCTGGGATGAATGTCAAACATGCATCTAACTAAAGATGCAGGGCCACTGGCCTCTGCACTGTTCCCAGGAGCATTCCAAACCCCAGCAGAAGGGGCACTTCTCAAGACGGGCAGTGTAATGGGATCTGTTTTTGTATAAGAGAAGGCCATGGACGCCAGTGACAGAGACTGCACAGGTAGCCAAGTCATTAAGGGGATATTTGTCTCTCTAGACTTCCACAGAAAGAAATGCAAAAAGCTCCCAGGGGAGAAACACTCAAAGGCATTGCTATTTTGGCCTTCCAAGAGGGGAGCATAACAGGGATTTTGGAGGGAGGCAGCAAAAAGGCAAAAGGACAATGTATTCACTTTTACAGGTCACATTTGTGCAAGTGTCTGGAAGAAAACTCATTTAGGAACATATACGTACATAAAATCCTACTTAGAAAAAATACGAAAAAATATAATTTGGGGGAAATGAAATATATGATTTTGAGATAGAATGGTGTCATTTTTCTCTTCCTACTAGAATTTCATTACAAGCATTTTTAACTGTCCAAAATGCTTTAAGAAGTGAGTTAAGGGAACCTGGGTGGCTCAGTCGTTAAGCGTCTGCCTTCGGCTCAGGTCATGATCCCAGGGTCCTGGGATCGAGTCCCACATCGGGCTCCTTGCTGGCGGG